CACAAACCAGAAATGCGTGAACAGCAGCAACTTGGGCGGTCACGCAGCGGGAGTTGTCCGGCCACCAAACCCGAACAGATGCAGTCTTCGGTTCACCGTGGTTCACATATGATCAGGCGCACTCCCCCGCCCCGCTCCGCAGTGCTGTGGTCAACGGTTTAGACATGAAGGTTTTGAAAATCTTTGGAATGAGACCAAAACCCTGAACCCTTGAGCACTCCTGCCACTCAGACCGGGACGCTACTTGCTGCCCTGAGGCAAGTCCTCGACGTAGTAGCCCCTGTCGACACAGGATCATGATCACAAGCACACCTAGTCGAGGACCATGCATACACCACACCCCTGATATGGGGCTCCGTGTTGTGACAGGAATCTTAGACAAACCCACATACAAAAAGAAATGCAGCCTGCAGTATGTCGAAAATGTGTCCGTTGGAGGTGAGGATGTTGAGTTGGAGGAAGCTTCCAAACCCCGCAAACCCCTCTGCTTTCTGGTGCATTATCATATTATGGCTTGCCACGGGTGTTTCGTCAGTCTTTCCTTGTTTTTGGGGGGATCATTGCGGGAGGGCACAGACCAAACCAAACGCCAACAACACCCATTCAGGGGGAAGTGTAATCGCAAAGGTTGGCAACCTTGACTCGACCTTCTGAGTTCCAAATTGAAAGACCTACGCTAACAATCAAAAACTGACATCACGCAACCGTCAACTGCCTCGGCAGCGCTGGCAGGATTCTGTTGGTGCATCTCCAGGATCCGTCGCTGCAACGTAACAACAGCTTTGTGCTCGGTAAAAGTTCGAATGCTGGATTGTGGTTGCTAGCATTTCGCAATTCCAGTTGGGTGGAGTGAAAACGATCGTCCACTCAGAACAGCAAGCAACGGCACCTAGCTACGTAACGTAGGATTCATATGGATTCATGAATTCATGGTAATATGCTGGCACTCAGCAGCGCTGCCGTTGAAGAAACGACGGCGGCACGACAAGCTCTGATTGCAATCTCTCAGCTGTTGTGATACAAGTGCTCGTCTTCTTGATATCCATCTACCAGCGGTGCCGTACAAGAAGTCAAAGGTCTAACATCATCTAACAGTAACAGTCTATGAGGCCTCGCATCCCGGGGCTGATGCGCTCAACGGTTTGCAGCAGGAATTAATCTGGAGCCCAGATGTCGTTTCCAGTGCAGCATGCCGTTTGCTTACATTGTTTTGCTCGCTGCCAATTCGCAAGCGACGAATCCCATGTTCCAAAGCCTCAAGAGGGACTCAGTTCTTGGTGGGCAGCTCAGCAGGAAGTGAGCGGCCCGTCTTCCAAGGTGCTGGCTCACTTGAGAGCTGCACACTGTTTGCCGTACGATGCACCCACATAGTAGGTTGTTCTGCTCACCTCCACGGTCATCTGGAAGGACTGCAAGGACTGCAAGGACTGCCAGGGCTGCCAGGGCTGGTCAGCGCTGCGTCGCAGTTCTGGCTTCTTCTCACTTGGTGCACGACACGCGGGCAGCTGAGGCAAGTCTTAGCAAGATCCGCTTCTTGCGTTCATCCCCAGGCTGTAGACAAGCGTCTTGACGCGAGGTGCTATGGGAAACTGCATGACTTGGGGATCCAGCGCAGGAAAGCCTGAGTTTCGCAGGCGGGAAGCCAGGGAAGCCAGGGAAGCCGAAACTGAGCGAAGGCCGTGGTCTGCCATGATCACCCATGATCACTTCGCACTTCAGATCGGCTTCAGGCGAGCTTGATGACAGCCCTTCGCAAGGCCTGGAAAGATCATGAAGATGTGTGCAGTTTTCAGGACACCACGCGCACCTGCAACCAGGCACTGCCTGCGCTAGAAGATGCTGCAAGCCTCTGGTCATCAACACCCGGGGAGGCGACACGCCTGAATGGAGCGAAAGGCGTGAACGTGCTACGAGTACCGTGTCGCAATTCATCTCGACCTCGAAAAGCGCATGGTCTCAGGTCACAGACCTTTGTGGTGAGATAGACTCGGCCAAGACCGGAACAGGCATGAAGACACACCGGCTCACAAGTCTCTGCGCACCGGGTGCGGCCCTTTCACAACGACATCCCAGTATGGCTGGTCCCGTGTGGCATGCGGCGCACAAGTCACATCGCAAGCGCCTCTCGCGAAATTCACTTGCTACCCATTGTCATGGATGCCTCCGTCTCAGCAAGATTTTAGCTTAGCATGGGCTTTACAAGACCACGCACCTTAGAAAGACCTTGTGAAAGAACGAGCGACCCTTAAACGACATACTTCCTGCTGCCCTCGAGCCCTTTGCCTTGCCAGCGACGGACTGTCGCAGCGCCACGAATCAAGCCTTCACCTCTGCCGTGAGTGGTACATTGTGCCTCGAAGCTTCAGCGCGGGAGGCTGAACTATAAAACGACATGTATAGGCATGCGAGGCTTTTGGCTCGCTTGGGCCAGAGCCCTGCGAGCGACCCAGGAACCTCCATCAAGTCGTGTGCCAGGCCCCCAAACATGCCTGCAAAGGTCTGGCAACGGGAGCAAGAAGCTGTGGACCCGAAGGAGGTGAAGTCTCCAATTGAATTTGGGCAAAACAGGTAGCACTTAGACCGGGCAGCCATTTGTACTAAGGCCCCTGGCCAACTGCTAACTTCGTCTAACCTTCCCTGAGTTGGGCATCGGCTTACTAAGTCTTCCAGCTGATCCTTGGGACCTTCGTAAACCGTTGCTCGGGCTTGCAGAAGTCTCACTTCTGCCCATGGAAGGGGTGCACTGAGTTCGTGGAATGGGTGATTGTTGCCTCTCAGACGGCTACCTACCTCCACATTGAATAATCCATGAGGCTGCGTAAAGGGCTTTTACAGGGCCGCAACTTTGCGCTTTGGCGGGCGATTATGGGATCTAGGAAACCATGGTTTGGGGCCGCTAGGGCCAGATGTCTTAAGTTTATGACGACCTAAGGAAAACAAGAAGAGTTGTGAACGTTGATGAAAGAAAGCAATGGCGAAACATAAGGCGCAGCTGCAACAGGAGTCCTGCTGCAAGCCCAGGAAATTGATTCCTTCTCTGACGGCTCCGAGGTTAACCTCGAGCTAGCTTTTGGACATGTTTGCGGAAAAACCTTGCTCCAGAATGGGTTCCCCGGCGCCTACCACTCGCAAACATGCCCGAGGAGACAGAAGATCCTTACGGTCTGGTCCTGCCTTGAACATAAGTCTAGCTTCTTCCGCGCGTTTGTTCAAGTGATTTCGATCCTGAGGCTGTACTTGCAATTCAGCTTCTTCCACCTGCAGACGGCACGCTGCACAGGAAAAAATGGTGATCTGCATGGATTGCCTCCGTGCTGCTCACCGCGCAGAGTTAGACCTCATTCAGGAGGACACGTCCCCTTACCCGCAGAGATTTGTTAGGGAGCAAAGGAAAACCTTTTTGGGGGAAAAGAGTACAGACTGAAGCGCCTTGACTCCGGAGCCCCTTGTTAATGTCATTTCCACGTCCTCGTGCTTTGTGCCTTGGCTTGTAAGTGCACAGTAAGTCCCCCGGGTCCTGCGCATGACAGTTGCCAAATGATCGAAATGGCTGTTGCGTTCGTGGGAGCGCCCTGCATAATCTCAGTCAAGAACTCCGGAAGTGGGGCAGGAAGTTGCACCCATCTCCATCAAGAAGAGGCTTGAAAGCCTTCCAGCGCCATGTTGCGAGGGCAAGGTTCAAGATGAACTGCAGCTCACTGAGACGCTTAGGAAGAATGAGCATGGTGCACCTGGTGGAGAAAGGCATGCTTCCAACTAGCGGGAAGACCCACGAAGAAGTGCACAGAAGCCTGCATTTTCGCTACCAGTTTTGGAATAAGAAACGGACCATCCTCGTCGGTGACAGCTACGAAATAAGGCAACATCAGCATTCATGCTGTCGCGGCTGCTGTGCGCAGTGCAGCAGCAGCCAAGATGATTGTAGCAGGTTCTGAATGGAAGGTCATGAAGCGCGTGGTCACTCATCTGAACATTGGCCGACTCCTCCATGAAACCAGAGACCAGTCTACTTGAGGATCTCGGCGCAGCCCTGACGCCTAAACCCGTGAACCTTAAGCCGCCCTATGCCGACCCCCGGAAGGCTTTGAATAGCTCAACGTCAATGACCTTTCGCTGCATTTCACTGCCATCACATCCTCAAGTCTCTGCACAAAAACCTTCACGCAGTTCTGATTCTTGTACGTTTCCTTTTGGCCGGGGCACTGCGCACCCCGGACTTCGGTGAGAAGCCCTGCGCCCGACATCAAAAACACAAGTCCTGGACCATTTCGTGGACAACCCATAAAGCCAGACCATCCTTATAACGCCATGAAGAAGGCACTCACACACCACCCGCTCCGAGAGAGCCATTGCTCAGCTAGCTGCGAATGAGCCTCGACTCTCGACCCAGAACGCACTGAAGTATCCCAAACAGGGCCAATGAGTATCAGCTGAATCCTCGGCTTGGATTGCAAGGCTCGGCAGGGCTAGGGTTTGGTCTGTTGAGGCCCCTGAGGCACAACCGCCATTTTCCGCAGAGGCATCGGATGCGCACCTCTACAATGCAAGCAGCATCAGGAAGCCAATCTCATCACGTACTCTGCAATTCAGTGCCCCTTAGTCTGGCTCTGTGAAGAGCGAGAGTGGATGGGGCGCAGGCAATGCAAACAAGGGTGGTGGCACTTGGCCATACCAGATCGTGTCATGTCGCGTCTCATCATGCCAAGTTGCCTTTGCTTTGGACGTTTCTCACATTCGTGGAAAATTATGGTGAGCGTAAGTACCAGACAAATTGCTAAGGCAGATAGCTGGCGCTTTCTCAGAAGACAGCCACAGAGAAGTGCTGTCTGCTGGCAGCAGGTTTGCTGAGGAATGGCCACGATGCCGAAGGTTCTCCAGCAAAATGGGCATCTTTACTTTCTCGGGCGGACTGTCTAGCGGTGCAGGAGTCTGCTGACCAACGGCCTGTCACTCTCATTAAGGGATATCAGGACAAACCTGAAGCAGGTGGAAACGCTTTGTCAAAGATGGCTCGTCACTTTTGCTCTGCTGCTAACAAGTATCCCGAGTGCGCAGGCGAGCTGCTTTGCATGATCGCCGAACTTGGCAGACTGCACAAACGTCGAAAGGAGCAGGAGGTAGGCTCTCAGGCCCATCTTCAAACACTGGAGCTCCATTCCGGGCGGGCTGGGTGGGCCCCAAAAGCTACAAGCAACAGGCATCGCTTCTTCACAATCTTTAGCAAGCCAAAGATGGCTCGTCACTTTTGCTCTGCTGCTAACAAGTATCCCGAGTGCGCAGGCGAGCTGCTTTGCATGATCGCCGAACTTGGCAGACTGCACAAACGTCGAAAGGAGCAGGAGGTAGGCTCTCAGGCCCATCTTCAAACACTGGAGCTCCATTCCAATCATGTTACGTAGCTGTCGCCGCTAGCAGAGCCAGAACAGCGAGCCCTAGGGGCTTTCAGAAAGCAGTCAAGAACAGCTTCAGAGAAAGAGGCCAGGCGCATGACCTGGAGCCGCTGACTCTGTGTCAGCTTTGCGAGCAATAATTGCCCGGCTACGTCCTGTAGGTAATGCTCAAGCGTCTTGCGTTGTTGCCACCGGCCACGCCACTGAATCTTTTCAACGTCTTCTGTTCTTTGATAGAGCCATGTCGCTCCTGAGCCTCGCAAAGTTTTCGGAGTGACATCCTTATCAGCTTCAGAGGTGGCCACATGCAGGTGGGAGAAGACGGCATTCCAACGGGTACGATGCACTTCACGTGAGCAGTTGAAGAGGGAAGCGCCGGGAGGTAGATGCCCGAAAAGCACATCCAGAAACATTACCGTCTTGTGATCAGAGATGCGAGCATGTTGCCGACGCATAAAGCGCCGAGTCTTGCCGTCCGTAATGCGTACAAATGCCAGCTGGGTCGCGGTGAGCAAGTCCCTGGGCAGGATCAGCTCTTCCCTGGTCAAGTACAGAAACTCACCTGGCCTGAGGAGGCCATGAAAACCCAGCAGTAAAGTAGCAGCGAAAAGCGGCCAACCCCACATCAAAGAAACTGTGACAGCTGCTCTGATCATCGCCTCCGGCGTCACCATGGACCTCTCAGTTGGCTCCTCTTCCTCCCACCTGGAGAGGATATTCCACGCCGACGCCAAAGATGCTTTGAAGTGCCGATAGCGATCCACCACCGCATTTAGGGTTTCAGAGAAAACATACTTAGGATAACCCTCATAGAAAAGATACTTGCCGAAAGCAATCAGCGTAGTGCAGAGTAGCAGCCCAGAGCTTGCGAGCTGAGAAAAAGTGCACTGGAACTGGTCCTCGCTCCATTGCTGAAAAGAGTCAAACAGACCAGCTCGTCTGTTCTTCACAACCGAGGTTAAACCGGAATCAAAGTCCAGCGTAACCCGGCTGCGTGCTTCAAGTCTAGAAGGCGCACGCCGAGGCATGCTCTCTCTTGTAGAGCTGCAGAACCGTCAACCGGGCCCACAACCCCGCTGGTCCCAAGATGTCGTCAGTAATCTTGACCAAATCGAGAATGCGCTTTGAGCCACTGAGCAGTTGCTTTAACCAAAAGGGCTGAACTTCCAAGCGCTCCCTGAGCTGTTTCAAGCGCGAGGGATCGTCAGCCACATTATCATCGGTGCCGACATGGAAAAGACTCGGATAAAGCCCTGCACCCAGAATATGTGGCAGAACTGTTGACAAATAGAAGTTAAGCTTCTGACTGCTTGACCTGCCCTTCGAGTTGCAACCGATAGTGACTCGACTATCCAGCAAGGCCCCAAAACGAGAATTCGGTTCGGTTTTTGCAAGGTGTTTGAGCAGGCTTCGGAAAGAAAGCTCCTCGTTGACATTGATGTGGTTCACACGCTTGAAACGATATTGCAAGAGAACTTTCCATTGAAGCGTCAGGCTCAAATCTGCAATCCACCTTGGGGGTTTGTGAGCTGGGCGTCGGGTTGTAGAGGGCTTAGGGTGCTTGAGATCCTCAATGCACGGCGCAAGTAGTCGGCAAAGGTGTCTGAGCGCTGGGATGGGACATATGCCTGACATTTTGCAGACTGCTTCACCTGCTTTAGGGATGCGACCGAAGACCGTCACGCAGTCGGGTTGGCAACGCGCACAGAACTCTTTGACACTCTCATGGGTGAAAGTCCTTTCAATCCGCAGATGCCCTGCTTGAGCGCCACAATCACAGCCGCCGCACATCTCAGAAACTTCGGAACGATTGCAAAGCCAGTGTGATGGTTGCTTGTAGGGGGTGCCGTACGTGCAATAACAAAATTTCACATCAACAAAACCTCTCAACCGAAGTCTTTGGAAGCAGTCAAGTCGATACATGACAGACCCCAGCGGAGTTTCGCTGGTGGAAATTAGGCCATAGGCAGCGCACAGATGCATAATCAAGGCTGCCCTCATGGCGAGCAATGTGCCGCCCCGAGTGATGGGCTCGTCTGGGTCAAAACCGAAAGGCTGCACCTTGCTCCTCAACCGTGGTCTACGCATAGTTCCGAAAGTAGCGCATGGAAGCCCCAAATGAAAATAGCAAATCACCCGTCTGCAAATCAAACCGATAATAAGCTGCATTGTAGAGTTGAGAAGCAAATCACCATGAGGTCCGTCATTCATGTCGAACCCCGGATGGCAGGTGAACCCCTGTTCCTTGAAAGTGCTCGTCAAAGTGCCCTCACCCCTAAAAACTTCACAAACGTCGAACAGAAACCCTTCTGCCATTGAACGTGGAACTGGGCCCAGATCATCCGGCTGCAAAAGCTCGGTGCCGAAAGCATTGTCGAGGTAGGCTGCCAGCTGAGGTTGAAGATTTGTATGAAAACCCTTATGGTCAGCATGGCGCAATAATTCCAAGGTCGCTTCGGCTCCTATATGGCTTTGGCAGACCCCGGCTCCAAAAGGCGAAGCATCCGAGCAGAAAAGTTTTGAGAGGGGCTTCGCCCTCAGATCCGTCGTCATGCAAGGTGCAAAAAGGATAAGTAGCATCAGCTCCTGCTTTGCATCATGAGAAAGGGCGAAAATCTCACCGCGGGCATGTTGCGCAATGTCATGGAAAACCTGACTCATGAGACACATGGTTGGCCGGCGAAACATGACGACAAAAATCCATGATCCTATGATGCTCTGCAGAAGCTCGGTGGTCGTGAACCCCAGCAGCACCAGCTCCAAAGTCAAAGCACATAATGCAACAGTCTTCAATCTTGGTGCACAAATATCACCCCGGATCCCGTCTATCTCGCCCCCCAGGATGGTAGCTTTATAAGCGTTACGAACGGCCTTCTTTGGTGATGTTCTGAGGTTCACCGACGCATACTGCTTTCCAGCCCGTGCAAAGATCTTCTGATCGGCTCGGGAGGGAGGAGGCTCTTTGGAAACAGCTTTACGAGGTACTCGCAGAAGATATGCATGGTCATCGATACATAGCAGCTCGTACCCAGGGCCTCGGGGAACTGGATGTTTGTAAGCTACTTGTTCAGAGGGTCTAAGACAACCAGCACGTTGAAGGAGCACTGTATGTACGTGTTGTGCTGTTTCAACAGCAAAGTTTGTCCCCATGGCAAGGGTGCGAAAGCACCCCACCACAGGAACATTGTCCAACTCCGGCCGATACGCTCTCCACCCTCGAAACAGCGAACCTGGGAAGACTCCGTGAATGTGGTTCCGGGCTGCGTGGGCATCGCTGACAATGAAGTTGTGATAAAAATCCTTAAGGTCATCTGATCCCATCACCAGGTTCTCTGTCTCAGGAAGAAACATCTGGCATAGCAAACTGGAGTGCGCAAGCGACAGCGTAGCGTCAGACACCGAAAAGCTCCTAGAATTCTCGGAAATAGGATTCAATATCTGGCGGTCAACCCTGTCATCCTTGTACACAGCAAACAAACCGCAACGATATCTATGTTCAGACTGCGAGGCTGGGAGCAGATACAAAGAGTCCACTAGGTCCCACTTTTTGTAAAGGGCCAGCTGATCATCACGGTCGGCTTGCACTCGGGCTAGCTTCGTTTTTGGCCAGCAGGTTTCGGGCTTCAGGAAGGCTCTTGGGTCTGCGAAGCCACTCTTAAGGAGAGGGTCAACTAGGAACCGAGAAGCATCAAACTGGGGGGCCACCTCGAAAACCAATCTGTCAGGCTTGATGCGCAGGCTGCTGGTAGAGGAGGATTTTCCAGATTGAAGCGGGCCATACCCGATCCCTGCTTGCCTTTCTGGATTGAACGAAGCAATGCTGTTCACCTCACCTTTCGAAGTGGGGCGTTCGCTGGAGTCGGCATTAGATCTTCGAGTTTGGCACTTGCTTGGCTTACTGTACGGAGAAAATTGGGACTGTAAGTGGTGGCTTTGCTGTAAAAGTGACTGTAACTGTTCTTCCATGCTGCCAAACTTCTGGACTGCACCTTCAAGTCCGCGTCTGGGGCCTGTGCCCAGGCGGAGCCAAACCATGACCTGCCTCTCAAGGCGAGCAAGCATTGCAGTTTGCACCGCACTGAGGGGCGGCAAGGCTGCAGGATGCATCTCTGTTCGTCCCAGAGCCAGCCAGTTTCCCGCTGCAACCAAGTGGCGGGTCCACAGCCTGCAAAGGTTTCGAAGATGCCACCGCGCCTTGCGCCTGCCAACCAGCCGTCTGTCGGGAGAAGGCTGAAGAGGCGGAAGATTGCAAGGCCATAGTTCGGAAGGGCCATGCGAGGCAGAGCCCAAAGGAGGTAGAGCACATGCTTCACGAATGAATTCGGTGAGCCGGGTACGAGCTCCCGCCAAAAACTTGACCAGGTGCACACACAAAGTCGAAGCAGCGAGGGTGTCGTCCAGGCCTGGAGGAAAAAGGGATTCGAGACAAGGCAGCTGCCTTGTCAAGCGGTGCCATCGCCCGCGTTCTCCTTGCTTCCCCTGCCGCTGCGCTTGCCCTTGCCGCCTGGAGGCTCGTCCTGGTTGCTGGCGTGGTTCGGGTTCTTCGGCTGGTGCGCCTTGGCGGTCCTGTCCTGGATCAGGTCGACGTCCTTCAGGTACCCCAACTGCGTAGCCACCCATCTCGGATCTGACAGCATGCCGTGAGGCACCTCTGCTCGGGGAGCCTTCCTCTGTTCTACTATCGAGAACGGCGGGTCTTCGCGGCAAGTTAGGAGCCATGCCAGTCGAGTGTGTCCTTGCTCGTTCGCCACCTGCTCGCAGAAGATGAGTCCCAGAGAGATGAGAGCGCACACATCGGCCGATCGGTTTTGCTCGATCGCCTCCCAAGCGTCGCAGAGGAGAAAGGCCAGGTAGGTCAAGGTCTTGTAGTTGCCCAAGGGGACCGTCTCCTGGAAGTGCAGAAACATGTCTCGGGCCTCCAAGTCGACTGGCGATGCTTTGCGGCGAGCCTGAGCCAGGCGCTCCCTGACTTTCTGGTACACCCGCTCCGGGTGCTTCTGGAACTGCTCCTTCAATAGCTGCCTTGCAGCCATACCCCGCACCCCGGCCACCTTCGTCTCGTCGTCTCCGCCTCCGCCGCTCCCGCCTAGAAGGTGAAGAGGATCCGAAGACTTCGTGGCGGAGGCAGTGAGTTGGGACAGGATCTTGGTCTGCTGGACCAAAAGCTTGCTCAGGATCTGAGTGTCGGAACCTTCCGCCCCTGCGCCCACGTCGTCTTTCTCCTCCTCGGCGTCCTCGGACCCAATGTCGAAGGTAGGGACGGCGAACGAGAGCTTCGGTTGAGGAGAAATCTTCGGAGTGGCCTGCAGCAAGCGGGGGGGAGCTCTTGATGGTCCTGGCAGATCTTGAAGGTTCTTGGGGCCCCGCCCCGCCAGCGCCAGCAGCTGCTTTAGCTGTTCTTGGTCCAGCCGCGCCTTGACCCCCTCGTTGAAGAGCTGCGGGGCCCATGTGGGCTGTTTCTCGCCCTCTGTTCCACCAGATAGCAAGCCCACACCGGCCCCCGCAGGAGGACCTTCCAAAAGAGACAGCCGTGCCTCGAGCTCGTCGAGGGAGTTCAGCCGGGACTGAATGCCGCTCAAGAGCTGAGCTTGTTGCTGGCCTTGGGCCAGAAGCTGCTGCAAGATACCTCCATCCATGGAAGGCGCTGATGTCAAAGGCACAGCGTCCAGTTCGGCCTCCGAAGCAGCCGTGTAGTACCCTTCCAAGCGCTCGACGGCCTCCACTGAAAGCTCTTCTCCGTTCAGAAAGGTTTCCAAAGCGGTTACGGCAGCAGAGCCCAGAACCCATGAAGATTGTAGTCTGTGAGTGCCGAAAGAAGTGACTTCTCCAACGTCGGGCAGAGCTGCGCTGAACATGTCTATGCCTGAAGCATTGAGGTCCACCAGCAAGCACGGCCAGCTCTTGGACGCCAGTTCCTTTCCGCTGGCAGTGACGGCTCGCAAAGCTACTTTTGTCCATGGCCCGAAGACTCCGCTGAACTGCTCCTCCAGAGCTTCCGCCAGATCCTCGTCGCTCAACGCGGCAATGGGCAGACAAGCCACAAAACCGGAGTCCACGGCCTTGACAATGAATGCGTGAGAGGCCTTGTCCTTGTAGACGAAGTAGAGCTTGGTGTATCCTGGTGGATCGCAGGCGGTCTGCCATTGGCCTAGGAAGCTAGGCCGAAGAGAGGAAGTCATTGGGGCCTCTGGCGGGACAAGTCACGAAGGCTGCTGAATGCGCGAGAGACTGATGTCGGGTCCCAGGCTTCACTGGGCTTGACGATGCGGAGGTAGGAGTCGGATGAAAAGGCATAGAAAGGCTCGGCCACTTGGGACACCAGGTGGACCACTCGCCGCCCAGGAAGGGCTGGTTGCCGAAGGAGAGCACTCGACGCACGATCCTGTCGGCGCAGCTTGGCGGATCGGCCTCCCAAACACGCTCTCAACTGCCGAGTCAAGGCACAGCGCCTCGGAAGGGGGCTCTGCAGGTTGAAGAAGCGAGACCCACAAGGAGGTAGTACGCGAGAAAGTCCTGGTTGTTGACGAGGCTGGGCGGCTGGGCACGAGGTTGAAGGATAAGGTGGTTCGATTGACAGCAACGTTCACGGTGATGTTCAGCTGCCCCACCAGTTCAGTGATCTGAGCAACCAAGTCCTGAGAGTCAGGCCCGGTGCTCGTGCACACCTCCTCGGTACCTCGCGAGGCGGTCTTGTGGTTGGGCTTCTCGGAGCTCGTGCGCGATGACGCCGAGGCAATTCCACAGAATGCTCCGGGCAACCCTGCTAGTGCAGAAGATGACAACCAAAGCCCCGCAGATGAAACCAGTCAGCCAACTAGCCAGGGAAAGCAGCACAAGGTCGGAGAAATTGCGCGGCGCACAACCTACCCAACCTAACAAGAGGCTCCACGGGTCGAGCCGCTCGAACATTCGAACCCCAAAAGCTACAAGCAACAGGCATCGCTTCTTCACAATCTTTAGCAAGCCAGCAACTCTGGCACGGGGGGGCCATGCTATGCGTGAATCCAGAAGGCAAGCTGACATACGCGCTCCGCATTTGAGGCTTGATCAGAACGATGGTTCCTGTGTCAGTATGCTAGGAAGTCTTATGCCTCGCCCTTGTGCCTCTTGCGCGGCCTAAGGTTTGTCAACACGTTTCCCTGGCGATCGCCTTGGCACACGCTTGCACGGACTAGCGCGGGAGCTTAGTACTGCTACAGAAGAAGACCTTTTGGATCAACCCTCATTTGCTGCAAGTTCGGCACTGCAAAGTTTGCAGGACCCAGTGCCGCAGAGCTGGGATTTCGCATGTTGGCATTCCACGAAGGCCGTTGCCACTCTTCCTTGCCGACAAGTCGGGGCTGAGAGGTCGAACGGACCGGCGAGCAAAATGCACTGGGATCGTGGTTTGCTCCACAAAAATGCAAAGCATAGGAGCGCGAAGGCTGCGAAGCAAGAGTCTCCAGCGCACCAGCGCAGACTTTGTTCATCCAGCAGCATGGGAATCGCCCCTTCTTGAGCTACCTGTCCCGTGTTGCGTCTGCTGCTCTGGTCTGTCGTGCAGCCTTCCAAGTAAACTCAAAACTGGCAAACTTCTGCCGTTTATGTTGGCACAGCTTATCTATCTTTAGCAATTGACCTCATCCGAGCAGATTGAGTCTACCGTCCTTTCTGTTTGTGGGCCCCGCGGAATCCCCAAAAGGAAAAGGGAATGCACAGCCCATCCTCGAAGGAAGGAGGCCTACCCGGCACACCCACTCCACGACCTTCGCCTCGGACGTTATTGTTTCGAAATCCGAATCGAGTCCAGTCGAACTGCTCTGTGCGCGCTCCCTCTGACTAAAGGATGTGGCCCTCGATGCTACAAGCGTAGTCTTGCAACTGGTGTTCACCACCCGAACAAGGCACCTGCAAGGCACCGAGCTTCCAGGGAGTGCAGCCGGCCATGCCGGCCCCATCCTTTGCTTCCTAGCGTGAACCTTAACACCCTAAACATGATCCGTGGCCTGTCACGGCCACCAGATGAAAACGGATGGAGCTACATTAGCCCCGTCACAGGAGCATCTCCACAGCGGCCTGGACACCGCGAAGGGAAAGCGTCCGCAAGTCCTTTCCCAAAGCCCTTGAAGTTCAAAAAGTTCATCTCAAGGAGATATGGAACCGAGTAGTTGGGAGCCGTGCCCAATCGCCGGCTGGAAGATTGCTGAGGTCTTCGGATGTCTTTGGACATGCATTTCGTGCTGCGAGCAGAGCCGCTTTTTTATACAGCTGGAACATGGCTGCGCGGGCAACGTGCTTACAGCTAAAATGTGCAACACGAGAGCCGAAGCCCCATGTCTAGCTTCCGCACTGCCGTGTCCTTCACGGCAGCATCTGCACTGACTCCAGAAAGCAGTGGGGCTTCTCGTACGGCCTTTTGCACATTGAGCTCATTACACAAAACTTCTGCGTGCACTTGAGAGCTGGAGCTTCCACCTGGTCTCAGTTTCGTTCAAAATATGACAATAGCAATCTGCACCTAAAGTGACCTCAGCCACACGGCTCTCGCCGATGTTGCTCTGAGCTGCTCCTTTCGAAGTTGCGGTGCGTTCCCATCATGTGTGCGAAGCGAAACTGCTACAAGGATGGCGCGAAAAGGAGGGACACGCCCTCAACTGATTTGCAAGGATGGCTCGCAACGGGCACAACCACTTCTGAACCAAACCCTCTCCCATCAACGGGAACTTTGGCATGTCACTGCGCAGGGTGTTCCTGAGCGTGCCGCAGACTGATCTTCTTGCAAACATGGACAGCGCTTCATTCAATCCTTTCTCGTGGCAAAACCGAATGCAACCTTCGAAAAGCAACACGATATTGCCTTAGGGTACAAGGTTTAAGGGATTGGGGCCAAGGGCATGCATTTTTAACTTGGTTGTCTTGCCTGCGATTGGACGTGTCTGCGTAGAAACGAACAGTTGCCCCTACGGTTCGAGATCCACGTCCAGTCTGCGCACCGCCTTGTCAAGTCGAGTTGCTTGACGTTTCTTGGCGGCTCTTGGGGATGTTCGTGAAAAGCACTGGACTAGCACTGGGCCTCAATTCGGCAGTGGATCCACGGATCCAACAGGACTCTCGATTTCTGCAGGAAAAACACACCACCTCCTTCAGTGTCTCGGCACCTTCCACTGTCTGCGGGTCAAAGTCTGCGGATTGTCCCGTCATGCCGCAGGTGTCCGCGACCGCACGTACAATCTCCCAACATGCGCCGACCGTTGTTTAAAAGCTGCTTTTCGTTGACCAACATTTTTTATACAAGATCTTTGCAAGTACCAAAGCAGCGGGCGCATGGTGGATTTGCAGCTGCAGGCCGGCTTTCGTGGGAGGTATGCCCGGCACCCGTTTGAGACGAAGTGCATACAAGAGGATGGACAGTCGTCCCGTCTGGAAATTACTGAAAACCGTTCGTCTCTAAAAACAGGACCTTCTGTTAAACTGCCTAGAGCTGCCAAAGAAGGGAGATCGGGTGCTGAAGATGGCTCACGATGCTGTGGCCGGTCCGGAAGGTGAAGCCGGCGAGCGCCCCACAAGAGAGAGAGAGAGAGCTCCTCCTCACCTTCTCCTGATGAGAGGCTGAGCACGCAAACACACCAGAACTAAAGTTGACCTACATCCTCAAGCTGTGAATCCCTGACACTTAAAAGCACACCGACGGCTTCCAGATGCGAGAGGCGGACGTCCCAAGAAGCTGGAGAAGCTTTCCCTTGACAGCAAGAAAGGTTGAAGGCTTTGCAAGACTGTTATGGCAAGTGCCTCATGTCATAGTCGGACAGGCTGCCAACTCGCAATGGACTGAGATCTGGTCTGGTTCGCCCAGATTTAAACGACTTTCGAGGAAAGGTCCAAGCCAAGCTAGCTTCTGGAAGGAATCCGCGCGTCGTTACCTCGATGCCTGAAGGAGGAATGCCAAGCTGGACCTTGGTTTGAAACACAAGCGAGTTGCACTAATGACAAGCACAAGGCAGGGCCGCATGATACATGGGGATGATTGCGAGGTCCCCCCAAACAATGTGCCGCTGTTCTCTACTTGCCCCACCCTTTCTCAGCTGCTTACACTTTTATCTGGTGTGCGCCAAGCGTGTATTTGAGATAATGACACAAGTTTCCCATCTTCAACATAACTATCTATGCCATATCTGACGATATTCCTCTGTGGAGACTTTGGTCTGCCCCAAACCTCCCTGAATCTCCGCCTCTTTGCACCCTACGTCCAAAAGCCCAACAACCCTCAAGCCCAGCCTGAGCCGAAGCCAAGCCTTCACTTTGACGGCATCCATTGGTTCTTGATTATTGACGTTTGCAAGACGGCCAACCTTGTCGTGCAGAGGCCTCAAAGCTCGCCTTGAGATCATCTGAATTTTGAACAACCACGGCCTGCGCAAAAGAAACATGCTCTGCACGGCAGGCTGTGTGCTGGCTCGCGCTACTCAAAACAAAGACCGCCAGGAAGAATGAAAAATATCACTACGCAGACAGTTCTGAGAACCGTGCTTAACGCATCGCTCCCCACGCCCCGTCACACTTGCTCTGGATACATTGATCTGCTGACTTCAACCGCCCAGCTGCAAAGCTGGCGACTGATCTCTCTTCTCACATGGCAAGCCCACACACATCCACAAACAACAAAGCTTGGCTATGGAGGTGAGCCGCAGTCTGCTTCTGGTTTGAAGGACTCGCGGACCGAATGCGGATGAAAGCGTGCTCCTTGCGCTCCTTTGACGATGTCATGGATCAGCCGAGGAAGACCCTTTGCCTAGGTTTGATAGGAACCAGTTGTCTATCTGCTGGCTTTCCTACTGACAAACTGTTGCCAAAGGCTGGCTCAGGTATCTATTCCCCTGAGCTCTGATATCTAACCACAAATTCTTGTCGCCAAATGTCACGGGCGAAAACATCATACTTACTGCCAAGGACCTGAAAAACAGACCCCCTGTGGCACAAATTCCATGTGTTCAAATGCAGTGAGCCCCTAGCACAAAGCCTATAAAGCACTGAGTCTGAAGCCATAGACGGACGTAAACGATATTTTCCACTTTCAGCTCAACCTTCGGCTCCAATCAACTGCCTTTGTTGTGGGGGAAAAAGTAGGTTGGTAGTAGTACTAGTATTAATACTAGTAGTAATAGTGGTAGTAGTGGTAGTAGTAGTAGTCGTCGTCGTAGTAGTAGTAGCGGTGGTACTAGAAGAAGGTCCAGTGGACCCTGGGGGAAACGTCCATGATTGGATCGGTACTCAAGAGCTTGCAAAACGCAGCTGCAGTACGTTAACAAGCACTATGGCTGGGCAGCTCGGCTACAGTCTACGGCTAGACTTCAGAGCTACACTTTTGAGAACTTGAGAATGTCCACAGCTGCAGTCGAGCTGACGTGAAGCTATACAAAAGCAAAAGCAGAAGCAAACGTCATGCACTTGCACTGCATCACATGCTACAATGATGCCTGCTGCAAAAATGCAGCATTACACAACGCACGAAGCGAGAGGAACATGTTTCTATCGTCACAAGCACCGCCGCTTTCAGCAGCCCCGGATTTTAAAGAGACATGGGTCCCCCATTCCGTGCAAACGGCAGAACAAAGACAGGCTAACCTACTAACCTACGGACTACCAGCTGCTCATTTTTTGTTTGACGGTGAGCTTCTTTTAGCATCAGCTAACCAGTAGACGATCCTTGCGCGTTCGGTGTGAGAAGCAAAAAGGCGACTGCGCGTACGCTAAAGCAACAAACAGCAAACCCCGAAAACACAAACAGCAACCCCCACGACACCAGCGTACGCCCAACGCACTCTCTGACAACACGTGGCAGGTGGCTCCACTGTCAATGAGCCATGCGAAAGAGCTATTCCTAGAGGACGACTGGTTCAGTCGCTCAATCTCTCCGTTCGTCATGGTGAGACGAGGGGGCTCAGCTTCATTGGGCTCATTAGTTCTCGTCCCCGGACCCAAGCCACTCAGATGATGAGACCGCATCGCCATCACCTGGTCAGACTGCTCGTCTTCCACAGCTCGGCCCTTGGGTTCTCCTTTGTTCTTGGGCATCGCCTTGGGCTTGCCACCCTTTCCTTTGTCTGTCTTCCCTTTGCCTTTGCCCTTTCCTTTAGGGCTCTTCTCTCGATTCTTGGAACCAGAAGGCTTTCCACCTTTCGGTTCATCCTTCTTCTTCCCCTTTCCAGGGCTCTTGTCTGGGACTCATATGGCCCGATTTGCCACAGTTCCAGCAGAGGCCGCGCTCCCCAACTGCATTCAGCGAACCAGCATCACACAATCGGGTCTGCTCCTCGTAGAACCGGATGCTTTCAACCAGTTCATCCCAGCTCCCAGACGTCCCGTGCAGGACAACGTAATGCCTACACTCTGGGCTGACAGATTGAAGAAGAAGGGTTGACCGATCAGATGCTCCAAGCCTCAGTTCAGGGAACCGATGCAACTTCTGGTCTACCTTTCCAAGCTCGTCCTCAAGGAAGCGTCGTCTCTCACAGCGATGGCCTCCATGCGAAAGACAATGCTGAAGGTCTGGTGCATCTGACGCATTCCCTCATAACCACACGCAGCTTGTGCTTGACGCATCGACGTGCTTCTCACCAGTTCCATCCCACGTTCGAACTTCTGCAGACTTTGTTGCAGGCAGTAAAACAACCTCGCCGAACGCGACGCCACAGGAACTGCCATGTCAGACTGCTTGATCTCACGGTCATGCGTCATTGCCTGGCGCCACTCATTGACATAGTTGTCGTCTATCAATGCCAGCCAGGGAAGCAAGCACCTCGCACCACCGATGGTACTCCTCCAGCTCTCTCACACGCCCTTTCCCCATCGAAACACTCTCGATGAGCGGCAAAGCTGGCAGATACTTCTCTGCACGGTTACTTCCAAGTGATGAAGCCGGTGGAGCAGAAGCCTTTGCCGTGGGACTTCCAGCAGCTGCTCACTTAAAGCACCCCAAATGGGTTGCTAACAGCCCTTCTGCTCACGTCTCCTTTCTCTCCATCTTGCACCAGAACTTGAAGGGTCTGTTGCTGATTCTGCATCATCATTTCCTGACTCTGCATCATCTGGACCATCATCTGCTGAGTTGAGGGTCGAGTCCTACGACCGAAGCAAACACTCCAGTTGGTTGTGCTGGCGGAGCTTGCCCGTCCTGGGCAGCGGGGCCAAACAAAGCTTCGTCTTCGTCGTCTTCGTCATTAGGCACAGGAGTTGACAGTCCGGAGTCAGCCATGGCTTTTTTTCTTTTGAACCGACGCTTCTATTACACATCAGCAGCGCAGTAGGCCGTTCTGTGGGTCTCAACACTAAAGATGAAACAGAGCAGGTGCGAAAACCAAGCAAACACACACCAAAACCACCACAAAACACAACCACCAAAACCTGCAGCAACCCGCCAAAACAAAGCACCAAACTTAGTACTCGAGGTCGTTGCAGAAATCCAGGTGTAATCGAGATGCGGAGAGAAAAGTTGGGTGAGTTGGAGAGTATCCCCTTCAAGAGCTTTTGTCGAAAGGGAGCAACACACCAAACGATTTGAATCATACAACCTCGATGTTGAGCAACAGGACAAGGGTGAGATTGGCAACACCAGCATACCTGACTCTACAAACGAGAAGCTGCTTCACGGACTGACCAAGGGGCAGGCACGTGACGCTGCAGGCCAATCATGCTCATGAGCAAGTTGCCCGCCCAGAAGCTGTCTTGCAGGAGTTTGATTGGCAAAGTCAGCTGTAACGGTGAACGCAGTCGGAGGAAGCGGAGGCTCACCAGTGGGAAGTCTCCAACTGCATGGACGTCGTAAGTGCATTCGTCAAGAGGCGTGACTCCAAAGAACGCTCCGGCGTGTTCTCCCGTGGGAATCGCAAAGAAGGGCATTCCCCTCAGACCTTCCGAGAGAAGTCGGAACCAGTGCGAATTAACTGATGGCACAGACTGAATGGCGAATTGGCGCCAATAAAGCATGCCAATGAAAGTCTAGGCCGCCCGAGACCTGGCCGATCTTATTTCTTGGCTTATGGCGGTTTTTGGAGCTGCATACTACTGAGCTTGCGGCCTTGCGAGAAGTGGATGTTTCTAGCTGACCACCATGGGGCGCGTGCTCGCCTTGCCTCTCTTTTGGGAAAGTTGGCCAATTTGTATCTTCCCCTGTGTGCCTGGCGCCTAACCGTGTCAGTCGGCAAATCTGCTGTTCTTTGTTGATTGACAGCTTTCCTTGCCGCCTTGCACCAGTGGCTTCATGATGGTGATTTTTTGATGATTTGGCAAACGTCTTATGGGCTTTTGTGCCCGAACCGCCTGCAGCCAGATCTCCTTGGGGTCTTTGCTGTCTTTAGCCACCTACCTGTCCCTTCTACGCGGCCGGGGAGACGCCCAGACTTCATGCGTTTTCTCGCGGAGAGCAAGGTCGCGAGGGTCAGCTACGGTCCCTGCCACCGATGCTGGTGGCGAGCCAGAGGAGGTGCTGCAGACGACCTTGCGGTTATGTTAGGCCACTTCAAGTTGTGGACGGACTGGTTGCGACCCTTCTGGTGAGACTTAAAGGCAAGCAAAAGCGCCCCCAACCAGTAGTCTGGGTCGAAGTAACACATCATGGCCGGAAAACTGGCATTGCTAACCTCTGGCACATTTGCAACAGCAAAGAAGAGATCAGCGCAGAAACTCGTACCCAACCACCAAATCCGACAGCTTGGTTTTATCCAGCTGTGGTATTTGGCATAAGTATGTCCGCCAGATCAATGTGCCTATGAGAGTCGCAAGCACTGCGTGATGATGGGTCATAGATTTTCAGGTAGGCGGGCCCAACAAGGTGTCCGGTTCCTAGAGCTGGTGTGGCAAGCGCAGCAGTACGCTCGAAGTTGTTGCCCATGCGTCGTCAGATAAGTTGAATCACGCAAGCACATGTAGGGCCTGGGCTTCACGCTTCTTCCAAAATGGTGCTGCGCCTTGAGCGCACGCCACATGAGCCCGCAAACAGAATTTTTACTTCCATGGAAAGGAGACTTATTGCTCGGGCAGTGCCGGAGTAGGAGTTGGATGTATGTAGAAGGGAGGACGTCTCCAGTAGCACCTCGAACCTCTAGCACGGCACCCTTACAGGATTAGCGGAGGCTCAACAGACAAAAATTTTCTCTCAGCCCGAGCTCGAGCAGCTGTGAACATGAACGCGGCCAACTGTGGATTCAAGCATGCAGCAAGTCACATGGCCAAAAATTACGTCCATGATGCTGAGGAAAATTCTTTTAAAACTCGAGATACTTTTCGCAACTCACAAAGGTCGCAAAAAGGATTTTTAAAAACCCCGTGCTCGAAGGAAGAGCACTACAACTTTAGTTTGAGAGAGAAATGTCAGGCGAGCTGAAATTTTCCATCTTGTGCTTGTTCTGCTCACCGGATTGGTTGTCCAAGGGCATTGGCATGACTCGTGGACCCATCTCATACACCCTGTCGTCTGTCAGGTCCTCAGGGGAAGGCATAGCACCCAAATCAGCAAGGCTTCTCATCCTGAGGGGCCCGGTTATGACGATCCTCTAAGTGGCCTCCTCGCAAGCTGGCTAGTGGAGGACAAAGTCTATGCCAAGGAATGGACTCCGCAGTTGCTGGCTGGACTTCTAGCCACTCTACCTGTTGCGCCGATGCCCAGCCAAGAGGACGCCCGAACTCCTGCGCTGTGGCATGCGGAGCGTTTAAGCCTGAGCCCGAACTCGCTAAGCAATGAGCAAGACCCAAGAAGCCGAGCCAGTGTCTTTGCACTTGCAGCGGGGCCGTCCTTCCTTTCGTGTCTTTGTGACACTTTTTGGGGGGTGACGGTCATCTTGCGGCGTTGGTTGGAACCTGTTCTTACGGTTTGGATGCCAATCGCTCCTCTGTCTTCATCACTGGTGCCCCTGGCAGCGGCAAAACACGCTCGTGTGCTTTCCTGGGAGTACTTGTTGCCTGCCTGACTAACAGACTCACCCTTTACACCGCACATGGCAACGAGTCAGTGCGAGCCTATGTCGAAGCCGTTGATCGGTTAACCGCTGCAAGCAACGATTTCGTCCGCAGTCGCATCATTCGCGTCCCGGCCAGCAAGGAAAAGGATACCTACAAGCTTCCTTTTGACGCACATGATGCGACCGGGGGATATTTAGTTGCAGCGACACATGGGACTATAGTTGCTCGGCTCAGCTTCCCATACTCGGTGCTCATTAACAGGTTGAAGGATGTGGAGCTTCTGCTCAGGGATGAAGCACAGCAACTGGGCACACCTGGCTCCAACACCATTCTGGCTCACATTCGACACGCGCTTGATGTCATGATTGGGGATCACAGGCAGCCGGCGGGAGGATCCCGACCGAATTACCACTATGTGACGGAGCTTTTGGAGCAAAAAAACATGCGGCCTCAATGCCGTCCCGGCTGATCTGTATACGCCTGCCACGCTACCAGCAGCATTGCTAAGGCAAACGCATAATAGCGCCGGACCGTGGAAAAAAGGGCAAGGAGATATGCCTTCCTGGGGCAAACCCAATTTGCACCCTGATATACGGAGTCTGGGTTTTCGGCCAACTCCATGCCTAAGCTGTGTAAAGCCAAAACAGGCCGAGACAGTCATGCAAGCCGCGGGACTCAAGGCGATTGTGGGTCCAGCCATCAATCCTTCGCTTTGCTCATCCATGCGCCTCCCCCCGGAAATTTCTGCTGTCTTGTATGCCTGCCGATACTCGGAAGCTTGCCTTTTCAAGTTGAGGGGACAGGTTCCCTTTCTGCGCATGCCGCCAGGACCCAATTTGCAGCATCTGCTCGCGAGACCGCTACACAGCCCTGCTGGCAGGTGGATGGAGACGTGTCGATGTGTCCGCGTGCCTGACCAGGATGAGAGTCAAAGCAAACTGGGCAATAGTTACGACCTCAGCTGGTTGCTGACTGACATTGTACTCACCTTCGGACACCAGGTTTTTGCCGGGGCGCCCATTGGGCTGGTCTCCCAGTATGCCAAAATCGTGGTGCAAATGAAGTTTCTGTTGCGTTCTAGTGTCCCTGAAGACGAGCTAGGCGATGATCACATGAGCCTCATGGAAGCATGTCAAACTTCAGAGGATTTCCCTTTGACAGAATTGCCACACTCTTGGAACATTAGAGTCTTTAGGACTTTTCTCTCAAACAAGCTGGAGGCCCTAAAACGCTACTTTATGGCCATCACCACGGCCTGCTCCACTGGCCCCACCTTTAGCGTCTGCGTTTTTGTGACCTGCCGGGCATCCGGCTTCCTGTTCAATGGCGAGACTGGTTTTGCCCGAGCCACCTTCTCCTTCACTCGCGGGTTCGGACCGCTGGCTTTCTGGCGCCATACTATCCGGATGGCATTGGCGCGTATTTTCAAATGGCGGCCTGGAGGGCTGATTGAGTGCTCTGAGTACCTGCTGGAGCCTTGATGGCCCCAACATTGCAATGGAGTCGAACAAACAGGCCTTGCGGAAGCAAAGGGTGGCGAGCATCGTGTTACCACGGATTGCAAGGTTGGGCTGGATCTATTTGGTCTCCCCTTAGGGGTCGTGCAAGCCGAGGGCCTGTGAGCTCTCGGCGGATGGACAGTGAGTCGAGCTCTGCGAGCAGCTCTCTCAGTTGGGACTGGCCTGTTGTGCCGCCAGCCCCCGTTTTCCAGGCGGTTTGCATCCGGCCTCGGTCCTTTCATACCGCTTCACTTCAGCGTCAGCTAGACGCTCCTCCCAGTCTCTTTTCGTACGTCCTCGAGAGCTCTTTCTGTGGTGTGTTGGTCAGTACCAGAGAAGGATCCAGGATCCTTTTGTTTCTCGACCCTCCTCATTGGCTTGCTCTTGCACCGGCCCCCGGCCGCATACGTGTGTTCGCCTTCTTCTTCAGCTGTCCGACTAAGGTGCCGCTTGCAACATGTCCAATCCTCCCTCCGAACCGGACAATCTCGACCCTTGGCTCTTGTTCAGCCCCGCAGGTGTGGTCGACCGAACCGAGTGTGACTTGCGTGCCGCTGATGAGCAAGCCCAGTTTTTCCTTCGTTCTCTTCAGGGCTCTTTCCAAGGGGGTGAGTCGGGAGCCCTTGAAGATACTGAGTCTTTGGAGAGTCGCACCTGGGTCGACTGCAATAGGCCTTTTCAGGGTTTGCCCGGGGTTCCAGGGGACGATGAGGGTTGGGTCGACCCAGGATGGGTTCAGGGCAGAGAGCCTGTATTCGGCCCACGCATACCGCCTTCGTCGTGTGCACCTACCTCAATTTCTGAAGCTGCTTGGTATGACGCCTGTCGTGACTTGGAGACAGACGATTTCTTGATTGCGTGTGGCAAGCCATTCTTTTCAGGAATCCGATGACGCTTCGCTTCTGGTCCCTCTTCCAGATGACCGAATCTTGGGTGATTTCCAGCGTGCAGCTGTAGAGGCTACTTCGCAACAGCGTTTTGAGAGCAGGCCGAGATTTTCATGGGAAACATCTTCGTCTTTGCGTTTTTCCTGGGAGAGAGGAACGAGTCCTTTGCAAGTGATTGGTGCAATTGATTTTCTTGATCCAGAGGAATCCGATGACGAAACAAAACGAAGGTGTGTGCCACCCACGACGGTCAAGTTCCTGAAACGCATCACAGTGGAGCGGTCGGAGGAAGACATCCGAACGGCTGCTCTTAAAAAGATGAGGCTGGTCATCTTGTGGGATCCAGAGGTGAGTAGCTTGGGAAGGTCCTTGCTGTCGTTGCTCGGTGCAGATGTAAACGAGGAGGCCATCAAGAAGTCTTTTTCGGATGCCTTCAGAACTAAAGCTTCCAGGACAATCTCAAAGCGAGGTGGGTCCCTCCTGAGGTATTTTTCCTGGTGCACAACAGAGAGCATAGACAGCCCTCTTGCAGTCGATGAGCCGACCATATACATGTATGCAAATTTCTTGCGTGATTCAGGAGCCAGACCGACTAGTATGACGCATTTTGTGGAAGGCCTTCGCTTTGTGCACGGGGTCGCCAAGTTGCTGCACATGGAGCCTGAAACAGTCCTTTCCAGCCGGGTGCTTGGCATAAGCCGGGACCTATATTTGATGAAGCGTCCTCTGCAACAGAAACCTGAACTGACGGTTCCCATGTTGATGGCATTGGAAGCATTCTGCGTGGAAACTGGACCAGTACTTGCGTGCATTTGTGGACAGCTGCTGTTTTGTGCGCATTCGGCTGACAGATGGAGCGATTCTCAGAACCTCAAGGAGATTTCAATTCAGGAGTCCGACGGCGTGATCTTAGTTGTTGCATCAGGCTTGACATCCAAGACGACTGTCTCTAAGGAGGCAAAAACCCGGCTGCTTCCCTACGCAGCCCTTGGCTGCGGGTTGTCTGGCAACAATTGGGCGAAAGCTTGGCTGGAGGCTCGTGAACATGAAGGCCTCTCTCTTGAGAACTTTGCGCTGCCGTCACGCCTCGAGAGCCAAAACCGCTGGAGCACTGTTCAGATGGGAAGCGTCGAGGCGACCAGCTACCTGCAGGACTTTCTGATTTTGAAGGGAATCGATCAAGACCAAGCCATGCAGAGGGCGACGCATTCGTTGAAGGCCACTTTGACATCTTGGGCGGGCCGCTGCCCTCGCCCAAAATTCAGTGGAGCGGAAAAGCGCCTTCTTGGACACCACATTGCTCCGAAGGAGAAATCACCGGCCACTTATGCCCGGCAGCAGTACACCCTTTTGTACGGGCGAGTCATGGCGATGTTCGAAGCCATCCGCGCGGGAGACTATGACCCTGACTTGTCTGACGTTGATCGGGTGGTGCAAGTGGCTGCAGCGGAGCGACCAGGTGCCGCCCAGGACGTCATTGCTCCGGAACCCGAGGCGCCTGTGCCACGACACGATTTTGACGAGTTCGAGGACCCCCCTTCTTCACAGAGCTCTGAAGCTTCTGAGGCTCCAGGCCGCGGTGGAGGAGGCTTAGTGAGGGCCCCTTTTGGGCCGAATGTTTCTGAAGATTCTCTTGTAGTGCACACAGTGTCCGGCATAACGCATTGTTTGAAGGATCAAGCCAACTTGTGGTGTGGCCGACCTCTCTCGAGGAATCATATTCCTTTCCGTGAAGCGGGGGTCTATTTTGAGGACCCTGACCCCTGTAAACAATGCCGGCACATTTTGGAGGCTGCAGAGTGATCGAAATCTTGAAGGAAAACGAGTGCATCTGTCCTTGTGAACAGCACAGACAGTACATCCTTCTGGCCAATCTCAGGCGTCGCACCGAAGTCTGACAATCGGTGATGTTGCTCCCACTCGAACGCAAGTCGAGATCTTTGGGGAGAACAAGTGGTGCCTACTCCAGCTGACTCGAAGCCTTTATCGAGAATCACCCAGCTGTGAGAGCCGAGGCTTCATTCACCGTCAGAGCACTTCGGAATCACAGTCATGATAAAAGCATGGGCTTCTGCTCGGGGAAACTGCGGACACGTTTGACTGTGTTGCAATACCCAGCTTACTTGTCCGAAGTCGATCTTTAGGCTTCAACCCGACAAGGAGCGTGATCGTCCCGACTTGCTAGGAGTCGAGCCATGGCGGGGATTGCAGTGGACAGCGAGGCCTGGTTTTTGGAGCGTTGCCAGAAGGTCAAACTCAGCGAGTCCACCATTCGCACTCTTGTCGATGCGGGATTCAAGAGCTTCGGAACCTTGGCTTTTGCTGTGTCTACCACGCCGACACAATTAGATGAAGCCGATGTGAAGCGATGGATGGGAAACATTTTTCCACATGACTTCCCGCCTGATCAGTCCTCTAAGGTGAGACGTTTGATGTTTGAAGCCCAAAACCTAAGCGTGGCTGACATGAAGGCACGCGTGGAGCCTGCCGCTGACACGGCTGCGGTTCGTGCTATGCCCAATGCGGAGCGCTTGGCCCGCCAGGAAGCCTTGAAGAAGCGTGTCACGGGCCTCATTCTTTCGCCTGAGACCTTGCCAGCTCATTCCGTTGTGGACACTCTGGTCAAACAACTGGAGGATGGAGTCCTCCAGTACTTGCCAGCCTATCGCATCATCAGCCGTGCCCAGGAAGCTCAGATGTTGAAGAAAGACCAGCAAGTGGTGGTTGATGGCGAGGGGAACTTGAAGATGGCGAGCAAAGCAGAATCCGCCACTTGTGACACGCACACTGACTTAGCTCTGCGCAACGCTTGGACTCGTCGCTCGCTGGCATATGATCTCGCTGGCCTTTGCAGCTTTCAGGTGCTTGAGGAGTGGTGTCACAAATGCTTCCTTGCTTTGATGAGGCCTGTGCCCAGTGGTTACTCCAAAGTAACCACCCATCAACTTATTGCTGCCGACCGGCACTTGTTCACGTTGGCCTCGCATGCGCTCCTTGGAAAACTTGCCGGCGAGCCCGGCCGCGAGAAGCCCTTGGAAACCCAGATCAAGCTGTTGTCCGAGTCGCAAGAGGTTTTGCAGTACCTCAACGCTCTCCCTACTCCTCCTCCTTCTGCCCCCTGGCCAGGCAAGCGCAAATGGGATGACCCCAAAGGGGGTGAGAAGGGTGATAAAGGGAAAGGTAAGGGTAAGGGCAAGTCGTCTAAAGGTGAGGTTCGCAAGGAGTTCACAGTGCCCGACGGCTGTGTCAGCCGCGTGAACGACAAGCCTGTCTGCTTTGCCTTCAACCAAGGAAGGTGCCGCTTTCGAGTTAACTCCAAGAACCGTTGCGGCCGTGGTTTCCACATCTGTTGGAGAGCCGGGTGTGGTGGCGACCACCCTGGCCATCTGTGCACCAAGGGATCTTGACTCCGGGCGGGGGGCTCCGACCTTCCCCCGGAGCCTGCGCCGCTCTCCCCGCATTGTGTCACGCCCGTGCCTTTTGAGGCGAACTCTGTTGGCTTAGGTCCCGAAGCCCTTGCCGAGCAACTTCTTCGCAAGCCAACCTTGGAAGCCTTTGATGTTTTGCGAGTTTTCGACCTGTTGCCCAGGAATCCATCTAAACGAGATGCCTTCCATCACCGAAGCTTTGGTTGCGGTGCCTGGGTGTTCGGGTCCCAGATCGGAATTCGTACTGATACTAAGTCTTTTCCAAAGAGCTCCGCTCTCTTTTGCCGTTATGTTCACCAAGTGAATCCTCACCACACCTTTTCCAGCCTGGTCTTGCTTGATGATGTTCAAAGCCCACTCCATGTGGACTGCAACAATGACCGCTCCTCCTGGAACCTTGTCATCCCCTTGACCCGATTTCGCAAAGGCCACATCTGGGAAGAATGCGAAGGAGGGGCTGACCGCTTTGAAGACGCTTCTGGCACTTTTTGGGGGCGTCTGCATGATGTATCCGCCGGACCAGTCTTGCTTCATGCCGCCGTGAACCGCCATGCTGTTTTGCCTTGGGAAGGCCGCAGGGTTGTGCTGATTGCCTTCACTCCCCGGGATAGTCCCAAGCTTCCCCTTGCCGACCGTGACTGGCTGGGTGTCATTGGCTTCCGCATACCCTCCTCATCCGCCTTGCCCACCCCTGGCCCGCCCAAACTCTTTCTCGAGGTGTTCTCCGGGTCTGCGACCCTGGCTCGAGCCGCCCAGAGGCTCGGGTTCACAGCCGTTGCTGTTGACAACTGTCCCCGGCGTCCTCAGGTTCCCACGGTTCGTCTTGACCTTGCTTCCGACATGGGCCGCGATGCCTTGTTTCGTTTGCTGCATGACAAAAAGCCTGCCGCGGTGCATTTGGGCCCCCCTTGTGGCACCTCGTCTCGGGCCCGTGAGCGGCCCTTGCCGGCCAAGTTACGCGCCCTCGGCCTCCGTGACCCTCGGCCGCTTCGGAGCGCCGACTTTCCCCTCGGCTTGCCTCACATTGACCCAGCAAGCGATGATGGGTTGCGCCTTGCCGCTGCCAATCGTCTTTATGACTTGGTCTTTCATGTCCTGCTTTGGTGCGCTGAGCACGACTGTGTCTTCACTCTTGAAAACCCCACGAACTCGTGGTTCTGGAGTGTGCTAGCCTTGAAGGTCCGCATGCACGCTTCGCCAAAGGTCCGCCGTTGGTTCAGTGACTTGCATGAGATCATCTTCGACGCCTGTGAGCACGGTGGCGCTCGTCCCAAGTCCACCAAGCTCCTCAGCAACCGGGCTGCCTTTGGCAGCCTTCGTGCCCGCTGCAGCGGCCGTCATGTGCATGAACCTTGGGGCGTCAGCTGGCGTGCTGGAGGTTGGGTTTGGTCCACTCATCTCGAGGCCCAGTATCCTGTTGTGTTGGCTGCTCGCTGGGCCGCTTGCTTTGCTTCTGCTTGCGATGTTTCCCCTGGCCAGCCAGAGGCCCCCGACCCGCGCTTGCAGTCTCTGTCCGCAGTGGGACGCCAAACCCGTAAGCATAAGCCCTTGGTTTCCGAATATAAATTCGTGCGCATCATGCCCCGCAGCAAAATTCCCTCATCCGGTTGCAAGGTCCTCGGCGCGCCTCCCGTGCAAGGGGGTGACTCGGGGGAGGCCGCCGAAGCTCTTCCTGAAACTTCCCCAGACAGCGAGGGGCTTGGGTTGGATAGGGGTGAGGATTGCCAGGTTGGTTTCTACAGGGATCCTTGTGAGTGGTTCCAGGCTGCTAAGAAAGTGTGCCACCCTCTTGACTCCGAGAACGAACTACCAAAGGAGCTGAAAGCTTCTCTTGAGGCCAACATGGTGGCCGATCGCCGGGCCCTCTTTCTTCGTCGAAAACTTGCACTGATGAAGGCAGAGATCCTTTCCAAAAAGTTGGAACAAGACGAAAGCAAACTTCACTCAGCGATGCCATCGTGGATGCAGACCGTGATGCAAGGCAAGAGGATCCTACTTCTGGAGTCTTTGCTGCGACAGCACAATTTCGACGACATGGAGGCAATCGAGCTTTTGAAGTCGGGGGTGAAGTTGTCGGGTGTGTCCGAATGCCCTGCTGCTTTTGATGTCAAAGTGAAACCTGCCACGTCTACCGAAGCGGAGCTCCGTCAAGTCGCTCCCCTGAAACGGGCAGCACTACTTCTGGAAAATCGTGTCTCCGATCCCGAGCTAGAACGCGATCTGCTGAAGGTGACCATGGACGAAGCGAAGGCTGGATGGCTTCAGGGGCCTTTCAGCAGTGAAACGGAAGTTTCTGAGCACCTGGGGAGAACAGATTGGAGTTTGATGCGAAGGTTCGGCGTTCGACAAGGAGGCAAACTGAGACCGATTGACGATGCCTGCGATTCCGACTTGAACTGCACTTTCACCAGCACCATGAAGCTAAAGTTACAGGACGGCGACTTCTGCATCTCTTTGGCCATGGAAATCGCAAAGCGCGTGATGGGAAAGCCGGGAGTCGTACCCAGAGAGTGGAGTGGCCGATGCCTTGATCTAAGTGGTGCTTACAAACAGATGGCAGTCTGTGAGCAACATCGGAGCTTGTGCGTTCTGCTTCTGCGTGATGCCGATGGCCGCCCAATCTTTTTCATTTCTTCAGCATTGGTTTTTGGGGCCTCAGCTTCAGTCTATGCCTTCTTAAGAATAGCTCGGGCCCTGAGCTTCTTAATGAACGTCGTGCTGGAGATCCCTCATGCAAACTTCTTCGACGACTATCCAATCCTTGTGCCTTCGGAAGATGCTGAACAGGTGGGCCTCTTATGCACGAAGTTCCTGCACTTGCTTGGTTGGAAACATGCCGAAATTGGAGAGGGTCACAAAGGCCTCCCCTTTGCGAAATCCTTTGACGTGCTGGGCTTGCATCTCGACATCTCTTGCATATCTTCGGGAACTTTGACAGTGGCTAACAAGCTTGGCCGGGTTGACCGACTCCTTGAGCGCCTTCGTGAGATCAAGGAGTCAGCAGTCCTTGCCGCCACGAGGGCCAAGTCCTGCTGGGCCTCTTGCGGTACGCAGCTGGGTTCTTCGGGGGCCGGACTTTGCGTTATGTTTGTGAAGACTTAAACGCCATAGTGCATCATGGACATCACCCTTCTCCTGTTGCGGTTAAACTGCTATGTCAACGCGCTATAACTGCACTGGAGTCGTCGAGGCCCCTACAGCTCAAAGCAGAGATGCCGAGTTCTCCGGTGCATCTCTTTACAGATGGCAGCTGGGAAAAAGGTGTAGCCGGAGTTGGGGCTGTGTTTTTCGACGCACACGATGGTTCGGCAGAGGTCTTTGGAGGCGAGATGCCAAAGGACATGGTCGAGTCGCTTCTGCAGACCGACGGTGACC